TGACATGCTAAAACACTCAGAATCACACTGCAACTTGCTAAAACAGTCAAACAACCAAATAGCATCAAGCTAAAAAACCCTCAAAAGACTCTAAAAACTATATGACAAGCTAAAACAAGTCAAGACATCGTAGCTATACAATAGCAACATGCTAAAAATACCTTAAAATATATATAGTCAAGATAAAACACATAAAAATGCATTAGCAACCACATAATGGCATGCTAAATTCTATTAGAGCTTCCTAACAAGCACATATCATGCTAACCACTCAAAAAATGACCTAACGTCCACTTATAAACTTGCTAAAATCACTTAGTATTCACTTAGTTATCACCTTGTAAACACATAGCAACATGCTAAAACGCCAAAGCAAAGACAGAGCAATATGAGAAAATCACTCAATCTGCACTGTATCAACTAAAACCATTAATAAGACCTCAGCAACATGACAAACTAATCAGAACACCCTAGCAACAACACATCAACAGAATGAACCACTCAGAACACCCTAGCAACAACACAAAATGTCCAAAACACCCAATACACCTCAGTAAAATGGCACTGACTTTCAGACAGTCACTCATATTTTCCTCAGAAAATGTATCAGTAAAAATAATAGGCTTAATATTATTTTCCCCACTAATGCCATAAGGGTTACATCATCAGAAGAGGGTTACATCATCACAAAATCTGCATTTTCCAATAAAAATAATGTGCAGAGATGCAATAGAAAGCCAATGGGCCATTTTGATTTCACATCTGAGAACAAGCACCAAAACTCACAGGACGCCAGAAGCTGAAAGACGACAACGATTCAGTAAGAGAAGTTAATTTTATCTCTCAAACTCCAAACGCAGAAACTCTCAAAGCTGGAGCTCTCACTGGACTCCTTTAGCACTCACTTATGATGTAGTTGAAGTTTTGTGTGTGGGTGCCTTAACTTTCCCGTGCAGTGCATATACACTTTCGCTTTATTTTTTTTTTTTGCTAACCGAGTATGATCTCAGTTGAACTGCCCTTGAGATTCCTGCCGTCAGCTCTTCTGGAAAGTTCTAGAGAGCCACTCCTCACATCCAAGATGGGGTCAGAGAGCAACACAGGGAGGAAACCCGCAGGAAGGAGGAAAGGAAGATTTAGAGAAAGGAAAGCCACAGCATGCCTTGTTTAGGTCATTTGGGGTTGAAAGATCAATGTATGTAAACCTTCAAAACATAAACAAAAGCAAAAAGAATGTCCTGCTGTAGGTTCAAAATAAGTTATGCATTTGTAGCACGTTATGAAATGGTGTCAATCCCACAGAAAACAACTTCAACGCATTTTTTAGTTTATAAAAAGATCCTAAAATGTGTCTCATGAATGCATTGGTACAATATTTCTAAGCCAATTTTTGCAGCTTGCAAGATTGTAAAACACTTTTGAGCTGTTAATTCTTATTCTGAATGACTATTCTATGCGGATGATAAAATTCTGATATCTCTCCTCATTTTATATGAAAATAACAGGTTTGGTGCTTTTTCAAATGTCATGACTTAAAAATTATATGAGGTAATATTCAAGTTTATTTTACCACAGAATAAAAAGGAGGTGATTGCAACAATTCTGACTTTTTTCTTATTTTTATTTTTTTAAACTGTGAGATCTGAAACTTATGAGACTCTTATAATCTTAAATTTTATTTCAAACTATTGCACATAACCTAAAACAATTCTGATCTTTTTCTCAACGTTCTGTATCTTACAAATCTATAAGACCTTCTTAAAACTATCAGACATAATCTCAAGTGCAATAAATAAACAGAGCTGTGAAGTTAGATTTTGTTCCTCACAATTCTTACTTCATTTTACAATCCTGTTTTTTTTTTTAATGGAAAGTTTATTTGTCAAGTTAATATCTCAGAGAACAGTCAAAATTGCAAGACATAAATAAAATCAGATTTACAGGACTATAAACTAGCCACTGTGAGAAATAAAGAATCTTGACTTTCATGTTATTATATGAATAGGACAGGGGTGTCAAACTCAGGTTAGTTCCAACTGTACTTCAACATATCTACCTGTAGGTATCAAACAAGCTTGAATGACTCAATTAATTTATTCAGGAGTGTTTAATTAGGGTTCAAGCTAAACTGTGCAGAGCTGCGGCCCTTCAAAAACTCAGTTTGACACCCCTGGACTAGGACTACATTTTTTACAACCGCTGTCAGGTTTTTTTAATGAAGTGCTGTAAATTGTATGTGTATAGGCTTTGTTTTTATTGCTCAGTTATTTACTGTGAATGTAGCGTGTAGTTGGGGCAAAATGTTGTGTTGTTGTACTGTTTTATGGTTTTTGTTCTCTATCAATTTACTGTATTTGAGATGTCAACAGTAGCAAATTAATTTACTCTTACAAGGATTAATAAAGTTTTCTACTACTACCACTAAATTTTTTAGTTCGTCAAACTGAAAGCTACTTTTGACTACAAAAGTGCTTAAAAAAACAGGCTGCAGGACAATTTCAAGCATCTCTTGAAGTTTTCTAGGGCAGTTGGGCTGGAACAAAACTCAATCAGTATAAAATGAGAATAGCGTCTCAGCATGCAAATGAACTGCAATAGTGAAAAACTTTTCGCGGCTTTTGACTTGACCTAAACTTTGCAGGCACCCAGAATGTGGGCGACCGCAGAAAGAATGTGTGTTTTCATCATCCGGGGGTGGACAGGGAATGCAAGTGACACTGGAAAAATGTGGTGCATGTGGGCGTCTGGTGGATGGAGGAAAAGTAGGCAGCACCATTATTGCTGGTTAAATCAGCAGGCCATTTAAAGGCATTTGTCAGAGAAGAACTGCATAGAGGAGGCATGTGTTTTTGACTTATAAATCCACCAACAGAAACAAATATTGCAAATTTACACCGAGATCAAGTAAAACTACGTTTGTGTCTTGTCACAGGGGGAAATGTATATTGGGAAAGCAGTAAGAAAGATGGAGACGGTGCGACTGAAGCTTTGAAGATCACATACGGCTCTGCTTTTGATCAGAGGCTCAATTTAAAACAATCCCTCTAGTCTGAGAAACAGCTATTGAGGACATAAAATCCCTTGTAAGGAGAAATCTACAGCATTTTAGTGTGCATAAATGCAGCAACTATAATCGTTTTTTTTAAACAGCAAACTAGCCAGCATGCATCATATCAGAATATAAATAAGCAGTTTTCCATGACTCTTTGCTGTGCATCTTCAAAGGCTTTGCATTCATCAACCAAACTATGCAGTTTCTTGCAAATATGCATAGTGTGAAAATGAAACAGACTTTTTTATTAGCAGACACACACAAGATGATCACAGTTAAACGTCCATCCTTGACAAGATTATTATGGAAATTTGGTAAAGTATGAATGTGTGCACAACGCATATATAATATTAATCTGTTACTAGTTAAAACAATCTCTGACCCCCTTTTTTTCTCCTCTCTTTTTTGTTTAGTATTATTTTTTGCTATTGTTGTTTCACTTTTAACTTAAAAAAAGATGAAGATAATGATCATGATGTCTAATTTTGCCTTATTTCTTTTACATCTCTTTAAAAAGATTGTTTAAAAAAGTATATATAATCAAACTAATTACTTCCAAAAAAAATAATCAAACATTTTATTCATATCAAAACTGTGTATACATATTATTATCATCATCAATTACTGATTTGCTTTTTTCAACATTTAGAATTATAGATTATTTCATCAATATTTTCTCATTTTATTCTTCCAAATGTTATCTGAAGCAATAAAGTGGACAATTGGCTTGCATTTTAAATGCTTTATAAAGTATTTGGCATTGCTTTTTTAAATTTAATGCAGACCCCAACAATAGGTCTCATCTTTGACACACTTTAGAACTTTTTTTATCACATTTGTACAATTCAGAGACAGATATATCATCTGATATATTATGCAATTAATTTTGGGGGATTTTTTTCCCTAAAAATAATAATAATTAAATCTTCACAGATAGACGTATCGTCTGATATTTTATGTAGAGTGATTGATTCTGGGGGATTTTTGATTCTAAAAATAACAATAATAAAATCCTTAAATGAATTTGTAAAATTGACAGATAGATGTATTATCTGATATTTTATGTAACAAATTTTAGGGATTTTTGTTCAAAAAAATAAATAAATCCTTAAAATAATTTGTACAATTCACAGATAGATGTATCACCTGCTATTTTTTGTTATTCATTTTGGTAGATTTTTGTTTAAAAAATAAATAGATAAATAAATCATTAAAATCATTTGAACAATTCACGGATAGATGTATCATACGATATCTTATGTAATTAATTTTATGGGAATTTTTTTCCTAAAAATAATAATGATTAAATCCTTAAAATTATTTGTACAATTCACACATTTGCTTAGCTGATTTTAAGGATTTAATTATTATTATTTAAAGAAAAATATCCTCCAAAATTAATTACATTAAATATCAGATGAAACATTTACCTATGTACTATATATCATCAACTAAATATTTTTTAAGCCACTAACTACTAACATATTTTTTTACATTACGTTCTTTTTGTTTTTATCCTTGTTTTATTAAATTATAATATGCCAATAAAAAATTACAACCTAAGATACAATGATACAAACTCAAGACATACTCTCAAAATATATCTCAAGAATCCATTTTACTTCTGAATCAAACTCTTTTCTTTTTTATCTAAAAACCACCAGGTAAACAACACCATTTGTCTAGTGCTGCAGGTGCATCTATTTAACTCCAAGAATGACAAACCAAGCACTCTCTCTCTCTCTCTCTCTCTGTTTCTCTTTATCATCATACAAAGCCCTAAATCAGCCTCATCCTCCTAAACAACCTTCTGCCAGATGAGATACCAATGCAGATCCAGGCAGGAGGAGAGAAAACAATAATTATTTTCATGCATCACCGCACAATCGAACACCTGTAGAAACTGACACACACACACACACACACACACACACACACACACACACACCTGCAGGATCCAAGACCTCCTCGATGACGGGTGGCAGACGCAATCCGCAGTCCATGACCGCAGTGGACAGGCTTCAGGAAGAGGGAGAATCAGATGTCCAAACACAACACACACACTCGCCAGCAGAGCAGAGACGCAGTGAGTCTGTTCAGAAAACAGCAGGGACGATCAGGAACGTCAGGCTCCACACAGACTGTGCTGCGACGGTCGATACATCCTGAAACACACACACATAAATGCACACAGATCAGTTCAATATCCTTGTAAACAACTGCAGGCATCACTTACTGAGGATTTACTGCTCTTGCTTAACAAGCGTGCAGCTTCCTCTCTCGGCTGTCGTATTGTCTCCTCCATACAAAAACAAAGCAAAGCAGCATCAAGGGTGTTTCAGAGACATGCTTATTCTGGAAGCACTGGTCTGCTTACCTTTAATGAGATCTGTGTGCAGCTCAGGACTCTGACAGCTTATGTTGCCGTTACTCGCTGTGTATTATGTGTCGTTTGCTGCGCGTCCTGCTCTCGTCTCTCCTCCCTCCTTCTCTCTCTCTCTCTCGCTCGCTCACTCGCTCAAGCTCTCTTGCTCCCCCTTTATCTTTCAGCTCAGTTTGCTCTTTTGTCATCAGGTAACTCTTGGGCTGCTTTGTGTGAAGAACATTTTCTGCGAAATCAGATGTTGAGAGAATCTTGATGCTTTAGAAACATCAATTATGGTGAAAAGCACTTTACAAATAAACCTGAATGAAATGAACTGAATTTTGCACACAAAAAAAAACTGACGGTATAACTCTGGCTCATAATGTATGGCATAATACTTATAATTAGGCCCACCCGGAATCTGCGCGCGCAGAATTCCGCAGATTTTCAGATCTTTAGCCCATCATTATTTCTGTTTATTTACTTGAGTAAACGTGTGTAAATATTTATTCAGTTGTTTTAATAATTTCAGTAATATTATTGACTAATGTGAAAATGTTCATCTGACAGTAATATTTTCTGTCTTTTACTAAATCAAATATATGACAAACTTGCTTTATTTACCAAACAAAGTGAATCTAATTAGATTTACATTTTAAACATTAAATAAAAGTAAAAAGATATTATTTTTTATTTCATATATTAAGGTTTTAGTTATGATACTCCCAAAATAATTCCGCTGAAATCCGCAGACTTTTACCAAAATTTTCTGCAGAAATAGCAAAAAATGATTCCGTTTGGCCCTAAACTTTTACTTATGACTTTATTCTTTAATTTTTTATATATGTTTTGTGTGTTTTTAATTTGAAATGCTTTAAATTTTATATAATGTCTTTTATTGTCCTTATCATCATATTTATTATTGTTATTGTTATGATTACTATTATTATTACCTAATTAAATGTAGAATTTATTTTATTTTGAAGTTACTTTTTGTTGTCATTTGTTTTAGATTAAAAATAGGATTACTTAAATATAATATTTATTTATTTTTTTATTTTATGCATGAATGTTAGCTTGTTAAAAGTATTTTTTAATGTGAAATGAATAAAAATTCTTTTAAATTCAACATTTTGGTCCTCACAAAAAAAATCTTCCTCATGTCATTTCAAACATGTAAGTTTTTAAAACAATTCTGCATTATTATTATTATTCTAATTATCTGAAACTATTTAGAACATTTTTTATCAAATACATTTCCATTATATTATGGAAGTCACTGAGAACCACAACTATTTAGTCAACAACATTCTTTAAAACAATTTTCATATTTGATGTTACTATAGATTTGGAACAACATCAGGAAATTTCTGGGTGAGAGGTTACTTAAATTTTGCATTCCATAAACATAAAAAAAATGTTTTTATTTCACAGCAGTCAGCTAAATCAAAGCCATTTTGGGAGTATATATTTACATTCCAAGTGTGATTCGGGTAGATCTGGTCCTTCATCCTCCCAGCAACATTAATTAAAACAACATGGAGGCCTCATTCTGAAACTCACGGGCCGTTTAGGATCAGACTGGGCAGATGGCCAAGAAAGACGTGACTACACAGCAATGCAAAACCCTAAAAAGAAGAGGAAGAATTTTACCAGTATGCGTAAACATAACTCATTTTATGAGAAAAAACTTCTAAAAAACAGTTACATTCAATCCCTTAGTGTCTTAGGCTGTATTTAGAACAAAAAAACAGCTCACTGCTTACTGAATACTGCACACTGTTGAGTAAACGCAAGTGAAATGGAATTCATTACTTCACAATGAACAATCGCATGCAACACGGAAAGCATTTTTCCCCATTCAATTTTTCCCCTTGGGTTTTTTTTTTTTTCATTTAGCAATGCAAGTGATTGGTGGCGTTTTCAGCACAGCATCTTGGGTAAATGAAGTTTTTCTCCATATTTATCTATTTATTTATCTATCTTTTTATTTAATAATTAAACATGTTTGAAGCACAGCAATTACTAACTGAACAAAATACATAACCAAACTCAACTAGTGACATTTTTAAACATTACAAAAGCACAACAAAGTACTTTAAATAAATAAATAAACAAATAAAAACAAAGCTGAAATGTTAAAAAGATATATTAATAATAGGCCTATATAAATAAAAACTAGAATAAATTACTGCGCACAATACACTTATGGTGGCAGCACTAATAAAATAAATTGGCTGTAGTGTATGTATGTAAATGAGTGTGTGGATGTGTCCCAGCACTGGGTTAATTGCAGCTGGAAGGGATATCCGCTGCTTAAAACTTGGTAGTTCATTCCACTGTGGCGACCCCTGGTGATTTAAGGGACTAAGCCAAAGAAAAATGAATGAATGAATGAATGAATGAATGAATGAATGAATGAATGAATGAATGAATGAATGAATGAATGAATGAATTGATTAATTAATTAATGAATGAATGAATGAGTACACTTACGCGGTAGAAATGTATGAATGTATACGTTTGCAACAGCATTTTCAGCCACAAAACACAAACATTACAATACTACACACACATTAGGGACCATTTATTTTGTAAAACACTAGTAAGGGGACAACAAGCTAACATATAAGTCAAAATGGTAAACTCACCTGTAGTTTATTGACTCATTGTAACCTTAGAGTACATATTGTATATACGCAGTGGTCATTGCTTTAACCAAATACCACAACAAGGAAATGGCGTTTACTTCCGTCATTAACAAACAACAGCTGGCTGAGAGACATTTCGCCATTTGCAGGAGCTCAGTATCTTTGTTTTGCCTAAAATATTCAGATTGTAGGAGATCCGTGTCAGCACGAGGAAAAAAAGCGCGAAGAGCTGCCACTCTCTGTCACAGAAACCTGATGGCGTTGCCTGGCAACCGAATGGTCCAAGGAGGAAACTGAATCACTGCTGAAACAAGGCCAAAAACGTTCCCCTCAAATGACACGCCAAACAATGATGAGCGGAAAAGCACGAAACTGATGACTGGTTCGGTTTTTAGTGTTAAAGTTTCATACTTAGACAGCTGGCCCATTTACGTAATGTTTATTTGAGTTCCAGTTCGATCATTTTCTCTCCCTATATTATATAAACACAGCAAAACACCATTATGAGGTCAAAGTCAACAAACGAACAAAGACAACTTTGTAGCTGCTATAAATGAAGGCTAATCGACGAGTTACCGTATATATACTCCTAGATTATGTTTAATTAAGACTTTGAATATCAATAGGATCTGAAAGGGGCTAATTTATATGCAAACATTTCCAAGTAACGCCAATGTGTGAATAGTTTGCGCACGTTCCAGTCATTAACAGAAAAGGTAAGTAAAATTGGTGGTCATTTTGTAAGTTAATTGATAAATACCGAAATAAACCATCTGGTGTAGCCTAAATATATGCTAAAATAAACAAGATCACTTTGTTATTCAGTTTCTCTGGGTTTACACATGTTTGAGTAAAATAAATGTTTGGTTGCACTGCAAACTATTGATGACATTTATTTGATGCTGTTCATGCTGAATTTAAAATAAATTTTAATTTGGAACATAACATTATTACTATTAGACAGTTATAAAATGACCAAAATTAAAAATTTATTTGAGAAGACATGAACTGTCAATTGGGTTGTACCCTTTCAAAAGGTACACATTTTTACCTAAAGGGTCCATATTGGTACCTCAATAGTACATAGTACCTATACATTTTAAGATAACACTTTTATACTATTTAGTTACCAATACCTTTGAGGTATTAATATGGACCTTTTAGGTACACATTTGTACATTTTGAAAAGCTACCACCCCAGTGACAGCTCATGTACCTTTATTTCTGAGAATGTAACATCTTTATTAAAACAAACATTTCCAAAAGTAAATAGTAGTGTATTTAAATTCTAAAATAAATCTGCCCTATACACCTAATTATAACCAGAATATGCTAATGTAGTGGTTCAGACATGGCTGAGACATGTCCACATTTTCCATCAGGTGCCCCATATTGTACAGAAGCCAATGAAAGTGCCAGTTCCCAGATGGATTGTGTGGCCCTGGGCACTGCCAATCTGCTGGAAACACACTGCAACCTTGAGTCCAAACGCATGAGATACTGAGGTCAGAATTACACTTAACAAACATCAGAATAAAAGAGCATCCCTGGACACTCATAATGTCAATAGGAAAGAGGACATAGGATCATGGGATAGGGCACTGTTTGGTTAAAAATTGACTGAGGGTGTCATTTTAGATTATAACAAATTTAACTATAAAAATCCAAACTTGCAGAGGGACTTTCATTGTTTTAGTTTTATTAACAAAAGATTTATTAAATGCTAAAAACTGTACAATATTAAACAATGGATTATATTAAACATGAACAGCTCTGAGTCGAACAGACTGAGATCCAATGTACTAAATATCAGCTTATGAAGTAAATTAATTCTACTCCAAAGCTATTGAAGCCCAGAAGCAACTTAATGCTGCTGTAATAACCATAATGTTATAGTAAAACATAAGAAAGTGCAGTTATATTACTATATACTGGTCATTTTATCACCTATTTAACAGTATTGTTAGGAAAACAAGAAAAAACATTCACTGCTCCTGGCTGAATAACTGACACTATAGCAAGTTACCTGAAATAAATCAGCACCATAATTGAATTTGCACAGAACCTGTGCAAACTGTAAACAGAATATAGAAAGTAATTGATTTTCAATGATGTTTCTTATGTGTTTCAAGCATCTGTCCTTGTTGTGTTGTCACAAACAACTCAAACTTAATGAAAAATACAGTTTATTAAATTTCACTGTAACATAATCATCATTTAAACAGATCTGCGTGTAGAAAGAGACACTAAAAATGAGAAATTAATCATTTTTAATACATTTTAAAAAGTGCACCATGAAAATATACAGTTACGATTGATCCACACTATACACTTGTATACAGATACATTAGTATACAAAGATTGTGATTGCATTTAGGGCACAGACAGTGATTCAGTCACAGGTTTACTGATAAGGAGGTGGTGGAGGCGGAGGTGGGGGCTGGAACATAAACCCCTGATTGGGCCCTGGGGGCCACGGGGCCATGCCCATGTGATAGGGTGATGGTCTGGGAAAATGAGGGACCATCGGGCCCTGATAGGGAAACATCTGTGGATCCGGATGAGGAAGCATGTATTCAGGTGGGAACCGAGGGTGAGCGTGGAAGTTGCTGTGGAAACCGCCGCCGCGATTGTGGTACTGCCCGCGAGGGTGGTTGCGGTTCTGTCTGGGCTTCCTCCGGGCAGCTTTTTGAGGCATTTTTTGGGCGTCTGATTCATCCTCTGATAAGACAATGAAAAGAATAAAAAGTAGCGCTATTACACCGCAACAACATGGGCATAATAAATGAAAAGAACGGTTGTGGGTGGTGGAAGGAAACAAAAATATCCCCTTCAGTCGACAACCAAACGCGGACAATACATTGAGAGTAATTGAATAGATTACCGAAAAAAGGAAAGTATTCATTTAAATGATCTCTTTAGGGTGGCCAGGAATCTGCACAACATAACCTTAATTACCAGTAAATCTTTCAAGAAAAATACAGGAAGCTTACCTTCCTCCCTGAACACAAGGTCAAAAGTAATCAAATAAATAGACAGGCCACCCCTACAAGCTCAAACTCTCAAAAAGTAGCAAGCATACATGGACATTAGTACAAGAATAAATGTTGGTCGTTGGCCAGAGAGGAAGGGAAATCCAGAAGCTTTCCACTCCCAGCAATCATCGCACCAGTTCCCTTTTCTAGGTGGCCGTGACCAGCAGCCAATCCGTTAGTTAGCATATCGCTACACTGAGCCATGTGCACAAGCAAGATTCTGAATTTAGCTTGCAACATCATGTCCCATGTCACTAAAAACACATTTTATTTAAGTGTCACTTTTGCCTATTGAGTGTGTAACTGTTTTGAATGCAAGAGGTCTGTTAGTAATCCTTTAAACATTTTTGATCATTGCTTAAGCGTTAACATTTTGTATATATCCTAATGTTCACATCTGAAAAGAAAAGACAAGTTTTGTTTGCTCACATGAACACATGCATTTGCCAGTGTGTGTATTTATTGCCTTGATGTATATTGGTGTTAGTATTGAATCAGTAAAATGTCAATCGATGATTCTTTTTACAATCCTACTAGCCTTTTATTTACAGTTAAAAACATTTGCACATTTGAGGAGGATTTTGTTTGTTTGTCATCCTGTCATGCCTGTAACAGTAAGCCACTGAAGTAAACGTCACATTATTTATTATTGATTGTAGGGTTGGGCGATGTTGACCAATTTGGCCTAATGCCGATGTTTCTAATGTTTGATGGAAGGAAACAAAAGAAAACAGAAGGGACGGAGTGACAGAGTGCGCACGATGTGTCTGAAGAGCGAGAAGGGATCCGAGGGTGAGAAGGGTGCGCGACTTGTTTGAGGACCAGGAGGGAGCAGCGCAATTTCCGGGGGATTATCACTCGTTTGCAGGCATTATGAGTCCCGCAAATACAAAGAGACTCCCAGAACTTCCGGGAGTCTTGGGAAGTCTAAATATCACGTTTAACAACTATAGAAGAGACACGATCCAGCAGTACATCCTTGATAAACTGTCAGACGTGCACTGCTCTCTGGAGCTCAGAGGAGCACATAACAGTGTGTGGTTGTGTGAGGTTACATTGTGTGCGAATTAAGCGGACAGAGGGCTGTTTAGAAAAGCTAGGTAAAACACGGTGTGGATGTGGATCATTTTCCTTCTAAAATGCTATTTTAACACCAAGACGTATTAGTGTAAACGGGCCGTGAGTGTGTATTTTCGCGAACGGGGGCGGGGTGGAAGATCGGCGATGCCGGCTCAGCATTGTGTAGTCTATTGGCCATCAGCGATGGACGATGGCATCGTCAATTGTCCCAACCCTAATTGATTGATGAATCAATAATGTAAATAATGACAGACTGTGGAAATTTGAGTAAACTCATATCCCTATTTCCAATTCAAATTACACAATAATTCCAGCAATGTTCATTATGCTTTAAATGGAGCAAATGCAATGTGTATTATATATTATGAGAATATTAAATGTATATATACATTATGACAAAATTAGTGCTTGGTAAAGATGAATAGCATGCAAAATAAATGTTTGCTTTGACATAATATTAATGTGTGTGTTGTGTATATATAGTATGTATTCATAAATACACACATGCATGAACACATTTGAGAAAATATATATGACATTTTAGAGATAAAATGTATGTGTATATGATAAAGAAAATATATTAATTTAAATATCTGTTACAAATAGTTTTGTACAGATTTGTTTATATGCATGCATCATATCTACATAATAAATAAATATATTAAAATAAATAAATAAATAAATAAATAAATAAAAAAAAAATATATATATATATATATATATATATATATATATATATATATATATATATATATATATATATATATATATATATATATATATATATATAAATTATACACACACTGTCAAAACAAACTATTATTATTATTAATATATTATAATTAAAGTATTATATTGATTAATTGTGATAATCAAAAGAATCGCACCCAGCAAAAGACAAAATGTTCAAAAAATAAATAAATTCCAACCCTAAATGGTTGTAAACCTATTGTTGGAGTCCCCAAAACAAAAGTAGTGCCACTTTATTAAACCATTTGACCCACCTGAGTCTGAGTCGTTTTGTTGGCGCCTCTTTTGCTCTTTCAGCTTCTGTTTAGCCAGCCTCTCTTGCTCATCATCACTAAAGTCAAGCGCCTACGCAGACACAGAATAAAACCCAATCAGCAGAGAACTAAACAATCCGTCATTAACAGATAACACTGATGACACATTAGAGCAGGATGCCACGCTCTTCCACACAGATTAAACCTGCGCTGACCTGATTTCCTACATAATTGTCATGAAAAGGCACATTTACCTCAGGGGGAGGTTCCTGGTCATTTTTCCAGGAAGCATCTGAGCCTTTGAGCCTGGTTTGAGAGGAGTTATTTGTTCATGTTAGTGGAAAAATAACACAGGTATCAAAAGAGCATTCGAATAAATAAAATGAATGTCATGAGCTACTTACGTCTTGAGTTTGTCTGTGAAGATGTAGTCTGTGAAATCTTTAAGCTTAGGGGCGAAGTACACCGGGTCTCGAACTTTAAGGTCTTTCTGTTCAATGTCGTCATGGGAGTTGAACCGTAAAACATAAAAGGGCTGACAAACCGGCCCGAATATTTCAAAGACCTGAAGAGAAATCAACAAGCTGATTATTCCCCAATATATCTCTGAAAAACGGCATAGTACATATTGACACATTGCTAAACATTTGGAAATAAATTTGACTGATATTTACTACCGACCTTGCCGACAGAGTTTCTGTTTTTGCTGAACAACACACTTTCTTCATTCAGTGGTGGTAAGTTCTTGTATGACTCCACGATCACTAATCACAAATAATCCATTTTTAGTGCTATAAATCTAGCTAGTATGCTTGCTATACCATAAATATATACCCATGTGGGGTTTGGCAGATGTCTGAATACCTAATTGATCCACGATGCTTGATATTGTGCCGATGGGCTCCATTTCTGTATCTTCTGGAAGGCTGATGATCAAGTTTTCCACTGCAGGAAGGTCCTGCACACAAGATATGCCACATGTCATTATCATTTATGTCTAATAATAATAATAATAAGGCATTTTATTTAAAGGCGCCTTTCATGACAATCAAGGTCACCGTACAGGACAGCTAGAACAATCAGTTTAAATTGGAAAACAATAAAAGTCAATAGAATACAATACAAATTTTAAAAATGCAGTCGGGTTAGAGAGAATAAACAGATGTGTTTTGAGTTTGGATTTAAATAGAGAGTCTAAATTACGGAGATCAAAGGCAAGTGAATTCCAAAGCTGACGAGCAGAGTGGCTGAAGGATCTGCTCCCTATGGTGACAAGGCGGACAGAGGGAACAGTGAGGTGAATGGAAGAAGAGTGTTCAAGAAGATGTGGCGATATGACCAAGATTAGCAAGGTATGGAGGAGCAAGATTGTGGATGCTTTAAAAGTGAGAAGAAGCATTTTATAATTAATTTATTCGGAAAAAGATAGGAAGCCAGTGAAGCGGTTGTAGAATGGGCGTGATGTGACAGATAGAGGGGGTTCTTGTGATAATCTGGGCTGCAGCGTTTTGTACCAGTTGTAATTTATAAAGAGTTTTATTAGGGAGGCCAAACAGAAGGGAATTACAGTAGTCCAAACAGGATGTGACTAAACTATGAACAAGAATGGCAGCTGAATGCGATGACTGCTATTAACATTGGTCTCGGTTGGTTCAATCACAAGTGGACGTGTCGGGCACAATTAATTCAGGTCTGATTATGCAATAACAGCCTGATTTTGGCACATATGGGAATGGGTATCAGGACGCAAGAATCAATAGTTTGCTCTTGTATGGTGTGTCATAGTGCCGTGCTTCCCAACCCTGTTCCTAAAGGCACACCAACAGTACACATCAGTACAATCAAACACACCTGAATCAACTCATCAGAACATTGGTAGAGACTCAAACCTTTACTGAATGGGTCAGATAAGGGAGACATCCAAAATATGTGTTGTTGGTGTGCCTCCAGGAACAGGGTTGGAAAAGACTGTCATTGTGGACAACAACAAATTTTTTTTTTTTTTTTTTACTTCTCCATGAGGGGATTGGTTGTTTGTGTGACACTGATAACCTCTTAAGATCTTCTGTACATGCAAAACATTCAAACATAGGGATATAATGGTTTTGGTGCTGCTAATTGGAATTATTCAATGGAGTAAAAGTTCAAGATAATTGAATAACAAAGGAGTCAGTATAAAACTTGTCGTGTTGGTAACACTTGCTGGTTTACAACACAAATGTAGGAGTAAAAAATACAATTAAATTGCATATTTTTTGTTAAATTACATAATCTGACAATCGCCCTTATAACAGACAGAAATATAGTGTAGTCAAGCTTTTGCACAGTTTAATTACATATAATTTAATTAGAACTTCAATGTAGAAATTGTTTATACAGCCAAAATGGCATTGTAGAATATTTATGCAAAAGTATTTAATAATTAAATGTCAAATTAAGTGATGCATCATATTTGCATAATACATATATGTTTGTTAACCTCAATAATTCTCTACTCAAAATGAATTTATTTTTCCACAGAAAAGACTTGAAACATTAAAGCAGACACCCAAGTTGAATTTAATACCATTTGTATGTATGTAAAATCTTATATAACATATCCAATGAAGAACATTTTTATTAATTAAAATAATTAAAGATGTGTGAAGGATTCAGATGCAAAAGTGTTCTTTAACTATAAATAAAGGCAATGAAAATAACCTATTATTTCTCATAATAGTGAAATAACTGAACATAAACATAGGAGCCTGAGGAAAAAGATTGTTTTCAGGTGGCAATGAAGAGTTTTTGGACTCTTTGCATATTATTATGTTTATTAATAATATGGTGGAACACAATAAGAATTTGGTAACAGACTACATCAGTGTTTTGCAATAATGTTGTATGTTTAAAACAAGACTATAAATATATTTTTAGGTTACGTCACCAACTATATATTCCTAGATGACAAAACTCCTCTGAATTACACCTCTAATATCACAAATAAGTAAAATAACTCACAATCTAATCAAATACACTGGGAAAGATGGAAACATATCAGCTTGGGTTCATAAATTGCTGTTGGAAAAGAAGAAAAATCTTAAAACTTACATCAATAAGCAGCTCATCTTGTGTTTTGACCGGTGCTGACTTTTTATTGCCCCCGGCAAAACCTTCATCATCATCATCATCTTCTGCTTTATTCGGCATAATCACTACCTCAAAAGGCTCAGAGGAGGAAGACGAAGAGGAGGATGAAGATGAGGATGTGGAGGATGAAGAGTCTGAGTCACTAAATAAAAGTAATAAAATAATTTAGCATTGAACATTCCTGGGGTGGGGGTGGGGGGGTATAATTGAAGCATCACAGTTTACGCATACGGTATTATCCAGATATTGACCTAAGGATCTAAATGAAAGCACACCAGGTCACACTTTTACATTAAAATTTCATTGGTAAACATTAGTTAATGCATTAAAATCAGCAGTGAGAAATAGACATGTATCATAATTATAGAGTTCATTTTAAAAATGCAAATTAATTGTATTAGTTATTAACTCCATTTGATGAAATGATTACGACTTTTGATTTTAATGCTATTATATGCATTAATTAAGAAATTAACAACACCTAAAAGATAGAAAAATGCTTTTTTTAATTGTCATTACCAGGCAATTTATTTTTATTTATTTATTTATAAATACTCATTTATATAAAAATGCAACAGAATTGTGGTAGTTATTAACTCCATTTAAATAAAAAATACAACTTTTTATTGTAATGTGCAATTATGCACCAACTATGAAATGTTTTTGTTGTTGTCATTACATAACTGAGGTTAACAAAAAGAGCCTTACTGTACAGTGTTAATACACAAAAGGCCTATAAATGAATACATTTCACAGTTTTAGCTCGGATTAACATGTAAAATTGTTTGAAATCAAGCATGTATGCATTTGATGCTGTGATGAACAACTACTAATACTCTACAACACATTAATACATATTCTTCACTGTATCTTGAAGTGCCTACCATACTCAATGTGTGCATGGACATCATTACAATATATTGAGTATATGCCTAGATGCTATAGTGTTTAATGTCGCATGATTTTACCTGTCAGAACAGTTGTCATCCGAGCTGTTTCCTCTGTACTGCATGCTCAGCAATGCCAACGATCCAGTGCCAGACTGTGGACTGACCACAGTCCCATATTGCATCTCTGCTGGACCAGACTGAACACTACAGATCTGTTCATCGATTGGTTCAGACTTAATATTGGAGCTCTGATCTGCCCGTCCAGACTGATCACTGGTTAAAGCATCTCTTATTAGTGCAGGTTGACCACCGGAGCTCTGATCTTCTCCTGTGAGTCCAGCATGATCACTGGTAAAATCTTCTTCTTTTACAAGTTGATGTTCTGAATTCTCTTTGCTAGATTGTTCAGGCTGAATGCTGGAGATCTGATCGTCTCTCTGTTCACTGGTGCATGGTTCATCTGTAGGTCCAATTAACACATCTGTGTTTTCAGTCTTGATATCCAGTTCCATTTCGTCTTTTTTAGATTTGGTCTCATCTTGATCCTGGAAAAGAAACAAAATTTGTGCAAGATATAGATGTGAAAAAATAGCAATTATTATTATTATTATTATTATTATTATTATTAGGGATGCACAATATATCATTTCAGCATCGATATCGTAATGTCATCATTCGCAAGTCTGGATTCAAATTCATAATTTTGCAAGTGATTTCTAAGGCGTGTGAGGGTTTTAAAAGCATTAAGGCCTAAGAAATTGTACCATTTGTACCTTTCTTAATTTTATAACCATCACTTTTATTGAATTGTTTATAAAACAAAGACCAAGTGGTATTATTTTTCTTTTGATTATTCAATTACTGTATACCTGAATACAATTTCATTCATTTTCTTTTTGGCTCAGTCCCTTTATTAATCAGGGGTCGCCACAGCAGAATGAACCGCCAACTTTCAGCTGCAACCCAACACTTGCAAACAAAAAAACACTGTTTATTTCATTTGAATCTTTTTCGTTATTGAACTCATCGACGCTGTTAGATTGTTTTTTATATTTTATGCACTTCCCTACAAAATCCACCCAAATCAATCTAAAATTATAAAACCATTCCAAATGGTTCAACTCATTTAGTAAAATTGTATTCATATCGCAGAATAAAAAATTGCAATATGAGAATTTTGCAATATCATACAATCCTAATCAGTATTATTATTATTATTATTCAGCATGATATTAACACCGTAAGAGAACATGTGGAATAAAACATTTTCTATTAAACTGATGTGATTCTCTTATGTGAGTGCACATGATCTTTGTCATTTCTCAAAGGTGCTGATGGTTGAATTAATTCTAATGGTTATTATTATATTTAGGGGGAAAAAAAACATTGAGTGTCTCTTTAAGTAATCAGCATGCAAGATTAAAGTTAACTCAGCAGGGTGGCGGTGTTACTGATGCCGTGACTTGCAATCTAATATATATTAAAAATCTATTTAAAATCTGAGCTGCATCTTCCTCTAACCTTACTAAGTTAGTCTACAGCTATTCATGCTTGATGCACATGCTCAATTATTCATCACTCAAGTTTAAATTATAAATGCACATTTTAGAGGATACAATACATATATTTAGTACCTACCAAGTGTGCCACAATGACTGTGAATGATAAGAAACACACATACGCATATAAAACATCCTTTACCTGGCTGTAAGTTGCGTTTTCTGTACTTGAATTCTCCATGTTTAGCTCTCCATGTGTGAACAGCATGAAGAAAGCGCTTCAGCTATGATTCTACGTCATCGGCTACACGTGAACAGGAACCGAAAAAAGCCTTTCAAAATAAAAGCCACAATATCTGTTGATAAAACAAAAGTTAAATGTTTAAAATATAAACAAAATAAGCGAACATTTGTATAAAATTTTATTCAACAGTGCCAAGCTAAACAAAATTTCAGTCATTCATTAATTACCAATACATAGCTGAAATTATACGCTTATGCGAGTCGTATGTTTGAAAAAACAATCTCCTTCGAGCCGGATTCGAACCAGCGACCTAAGGATTTCAGTGATAATCCGCTACAGTCCTCCGCTCTACCAACTGAGCTATCGAAGGGTATGAAATGACGTCAGGAGCAGCGGAATTAGTCGACTTCTTATGACTAGTAGAAACTCAGTTAGAGATATCTCTAATTACAATTGACTAGTCGAAATTCATTTAGAGATATCTCTAATCACAATTGTGACTAGTCAAAACTCATTTAGAGATATCTGCAAATATTTTTCAATGGAAGTCAATGGAGGAATATGACCAGTCACAATATATTTGCAGATATCTCCAATATGATTTCGTACTAGTACAAATGTAATTGCAGATATCTCTAATTGTCATTCTGACTAGTCGAATTATAATTATGACTAGTCAAAATATAATTAGAGATATCTCTAAATATATTTATGGATAGTCAAAACAAAGTAGTAAATGTTAAAACGGCTTGCCATAGACGTCTATATTCCGTGTCTATGCTGATATTTCGGTTAATCCGTAGTAGTTTGTTTGGAAGTTGACAGAGATTTCTGAAAGTATTATATTTCGCGGGGCTGTTCAGTGTTCATAATCTTAAACCAGGGCTGCCCAAGATCCTGTCCCTGTTCCCCCGTCTAAACTGAACCGCACTTACAAAAATGGCTACAGAGTTCGTTTCAATCAACCCCGAAGTCTCTAATGTGAACACGTTATTATTGTAAGCTGTATAAACCGAAGTAAATAAAGACACTCCTTCGAGCCGGATTCGAACCAGCGACCTAAGGATGACAGTGTTATGATACCGCTACAGTCCTCCGCTCTACCAACTAAAATGTACCACCAATAAATGTACTTTTTTAAAAATCTATATTAATATTTGATCTCTATTTAGGTTATATACCATTTAATATAACCAAATTACTGGCTGCTGTAGTATTAACAAGTTACCAGCAGATAGCGCTATTGGGCTTCACAAAAATTCACGAGGCTCAAACTACAGCTGTGCGCATTAAAACAGCACATCTGAACCCTTGTACATTAATTTCTTTTGAGCATAAATAATGTCTACATACACACTTACCATGATTTTACACGTTCAGAAAATGTCACTCAGTGTAACAGTTGCTTATTAGCAGAAGTGATGGTGGCATAATAAAGATGTTTGTGTTTTAAAAGGTCAAAAGTGTTGTGTATGTGTTTTGTTTTACATATTTTATCACGTGAATGCATTTATTCTTTTTCAAATTTATTAGAAACCTTAAGGTAGACACTTTACTTGAATTTAATACATTCTGTATGTATATATCGCTTTATTAGTAATTTAATAACAATTAATTTCACACCAATTTGTCCAAAATAAATATGTATTATTAGTATTATCATTATAAGTGTGAAAACACACACAAAATATTCTGTCAACAGAACAAGACGATAGAGATAATTTTTCCATGACTTTTATAGGACTGTCAAGTAAATTGTCATGACCTATTGTTTCATGGAATGCCTATATATATATATATATATATATATACACACAACAGTTCTGTCTGGTTCTCGAATCTGATTGGTTGATAGTCGTGATAAATTTAAGTAATATCAGGATCCGTACAGCTTCTTTACCTTTTGTGTATTACTCCGCTCACATACAGCCAGCAAAAAGCAGACACAACAGATCTAAAGTTTAAAAGATGCTTGTTCAGCTGTTTAACTGTCAGCTTATGATTTTAATCCAACGTGGAAGAAAGTAGTTCCTCATACAAAAGGGTTTTTGAGACTCTCCATGTTTGATTTTGTTTTTATATACACAATTATGCCGTCAAACTGTTGTATAAACGCAATATCACACGAGTAGCAGTGTGATATGGCTGTATATCGGCACTGGTGGGGGCACTAAGGCAACACACGCCTCCCACCAGTGCCGATATACAGCCATATCACACTGCTACTCGTGTGACATTGCTTATATATACACTTCATAAATAATATGAAAAACTATGCAAGCTCAAATCCATAAAACAAAAAAACAAATCTATTTAGTTTGAATTTATTACATAAATCTATTGTATGTAAAATGTATTTAGATAGTGCTTACACATGGCGGTTCATTCCCACAGTGGCACCTCTGAAATTGAAAGAAAATGAATGAATGAATGAATAAATGCTTATGCAGCATTCCTAATGTGAGACCATGTTTTTGGCAGAGACAAGAAGTAAAGACAACTAACCTATGCTCAAGTTTACAGATATTATTGTTAAACTATTTTCCATGACCTTTCCAAAACTTTGTGGGGGTTTTTTGTGTTTCCCAAACTTTTCCAGGCCTGGAAAATGCCATGTCAAAATTCCTTGATTTTTCCAGGTTTTCCATGACCGTATGAACCCTGTAAATCTATATTCACAGATGTGGAACTCCGCCTGTTTCTAAACCCTAACATTCACCTCTAATTTTACTTATTGATTATTATTGAGTAAATCGGCAGATGTTCTGATGCTTTAGTGAGGAATCAGTAAACAACGTCATCCTTAAATGAATGTATGTGTATTTATATAGCACATTTATTGTAAATAGTCATACACCCAAAGTGCTTAACAATCATGAGAGGGGTCTCTCCACACCACCACCAGTGTGCAGCATCCACTTGGATGATGCGATGGCAGCCACAGGACGACAGCACCAGTGCGCTCACCACACACCAGCTATTGGTGGAGTGAAGAGACAGTAATAAAGCCAATTCGGTGGATGGTGATGATTGGGAAGCCATGATGGGCAAGGGCTGAAGGAGGGAATCTGACAAGAACACCAGGGTTACACCCCTACTTTTTACAAGAAATCCCATGGGATTTTTAGTGACCTCAGTTTAACGTCTCATCCGACTACGGCACAGGTGTCAAACTCAGTTCCAAAAGGGCCGCAGCTCTGCACAGTTTAGTTCCAACCCTAATTAAACAGACCTGATCAAACTAATTGAGTCCTTCAGGCTTGTTTGAAACCTACAGGTAAGTGTGTTGGAGCAGGGTTGGAACTAAACTGTGCAGGGCTTCGGCCCTCCAGGAATTGAGTTTGACACCCTTGGACTACACTGACAGTATAGTGTCCCCTTCACTATACTGGGGCATTAGGACTCACACAGACCTCAGGTTGAGTGCCCCCTGCTGGCCTCTCTAACAGCACTTCTAACAGCAACCTAGTTTTCCCATGTGGTCTCCCATCCAGGCACTGACCAGGCTCAGCTCTGCTTCAGCGAGTATCTGCTCTGGGCTGCAGGGTGATATATTATATAAATAAAACTCCAGTAAACAGAGACAAAAGCAACACACACACACACAAATATCAGGAGGTCATGGAACCCCACAGTGGTTTAATCCTAAAAAATATATGGCATGATTGACAACACAACCTGGTTCAGATGAGAGAATCGAATTTAAAAAAAAGTTTGAAAACAAACAAAAAAAAATGTTACGCAGTTTTTGCTGTGAGAAAAAACTCAAACGTTACGAAAACCAGGACGACTGGAAGAAACGAAAAAAAAAAGAAAAAATTTCGGGTTTATTTGAGTCACATCTGAAGGTTTCCAAAAAAAAATATATATATCATTAGTCACGTTAACACGGAGATAAACAATGGCACATATTGGATCTCTAATTTAAAAGTTAAGTGGTGCTGTCATATTTCAGGAGACAAAAGTTAAATAAATTACTACCATTAACATACACATTTGAATATTATATACAAAGGGAGTTATTGGAACAAAAATCTACAATTCAAATTTCGTCGTCAACAATTCGGAAGTATTACCCTATTTTACAGTGTGTGTGTGTGTGTGTGTGTGTATTAGTTTGTGTATCTGCAATTAAAAAAACAAAAACAAAAGATCCTGTGATAAACAGGTGATACTTTTATGCATCCTCAGTCCAAGTCCAGCAAAATAGACTCTCTCTCGCTCTCCTCTCTCTCTAAAGGAATAATATAAACAAACTCCTCTATGTACAGGATTCAAAACAGAAAACAGGTAACAGACTACAACTAAAACACTGATTTTTGACAGATCCGAGGCTCAGAGGCTGGATATCGGAAGCGGATGACATCCACCTTCGATTATGGGATTCAGTTTTGCGATCTAAGTAGATATGGCAGATCTGATATCTGTTTTGGAATGCATATTTACAGGTTTGCATATATTTTGTCATTATTTCCATGAAGTTCCAGCCTCTGGCCTCCGATTGGTGTAAACAGACACTTGATGAAACAAAAAAGGTTATAAAAACCCCTCCACGCACACCGTCCACTCACTTTTAGTCTGCGCCTTTCGTATAATAACGAAAAATAATTGAATTATCATCTGTGCATAAATACGACACAATACATCCCTCCATTTTCCTTCAACATCCCTTAAAAATTTAGTGGTTTGTAATTTCTTCGTAAACTGGCAAAATTGGAAATCTCCAGATGGCTTTTAGTCGTCAAATAAAAACGGCAAGGAATGGATCTTTAGCTTTCATATTATCTCATAACGAATGACACAAAAAGAGACACAAAATCCTTCATGAACCGTTGCGTGATGAAACCGACCAATCGGTAGGGAGTGTGAGAACTTAACCGGCCAATGAGAAGGCAGGAAATCGATGCAATAGTCTAGACTTGCCTCCGAACCATGGAATAGTGAGTAGTTAGTAGCTGTGTGGCTAGTTAGTGGGCATTTTTGAGCCCCTGCATAGCTGAAAGGTGGCAGTATTGGAGCGATAATTATGGGATGCGAGCGATAACTGAAGAAGACTCGCAGGTCATGCCTT